TTGGTTCAGTGGGCAACAGACCAAAAAAAAAAAAAAAGACAAGTTAACAGTGGGAAAAGTGGAGTGGCAGAGAGAGGATGCTGTTGGGTGGTGATAGGAAGATGTAAATCAGAGGAGACTTCCTGGAGGAAATGGTGTCTAAGGACAGATGGGATTAACCAAGTGAAGGGCATTCCACATGATAGAAGTAATCTGAACAGAGGCCTGCAAGCAGGGGATGGCATTGTGAAGCACTCCAGGTCATTCAGTGCTGTCGACTCATAAGAGAGCAGAGAATGGTGGGAGGTGAAGCTGGGTGGCAGGTGGGGCCCAGTCACAGAAGCTGGGCTTTAGCCTCTGGGTAGATGGGAGGCACTTCCAGAGAAGGTAGGGATGTCAGCCTCCTGCTTCCTGGAGACCGCTGTGGGTGCCACGTGGCAGGCCATGGATGTCAAGTTGGCTGGAGGAGAGAGAAGCTAGATATGTGGGCACAGTCAGGAAATGCTGGTCAGACTGGGCAAGCACTGGATTAGATGTAGAGGGAGAGGAAGAGAGAAAATTAAAATAATGAAGTACTCCTGGCCTGTGGGGAAAGCACCTGGGGAAGGGGCTGAGCCCTGCCAGGGAACTCAGCAAACTTGGATCTCAAGGGCAAGTTCGGGCCTGTGACCCTGGTGGGCACGTGGCCCCTCCCACCCACAGAGCCTTACCCTGGGGCCCACCAAGGCCAGCTGGGACAATTCTGCTTTGTTTTTCTGTCTTGGGCACAATTTGTCACTTTCCTTTCACCTTTCCCCCCACCTCTTTCTCATCCTCTCTCCACGGCCTGCTCTACTGCTCTGTCTCTTGCCCAAGTCCCCTGGCCCCCGGGTGATTCTGCTGCTGTTTCTCGTCTGCGGAGTCTTCTTTGGCAGCCCCTGTCTCCCGAGAGGCACTGGGCAACTAAAGGTGGTCAGAGCCCTCAGGTAAATCCTTGTCTGCAGGAGCAGCCCTGTGACACAGGGGGACCTGTGCGCCTCCACAGGCCCAGGATCTGAGGTTTCAGGGGAGAGGGGGTGGCCCAGCAGCCCTGTTTGGCCTCAGCATGTTTGGGGCTAGAGACAAATGCTGGCTAGACAGCCTGGGATTCCAGGTTGGAGTCCTTTGCCACCCTGCCCCAGGGGACCCACAGGAGCGGGGGCTGCAGGCCAGTCCAGGGCACAGCCTCAGCGAGATTCCAAGTCTGCTTAGAACACCAGGGGCCTGCAGGGCAATAGAGGGGCTGCCCCTGGTCTCCCCCAGAAAAACGGAGGTAGAAGAGTAGAGGCAAGAACAGACAAGAAGCCTGTGAAGTGGTGGCGAGACCAGCACCAGTTTCTCAGGGCCACAGGAGTGTGTAGATGACGCGGCGTTGATGGAGCCTGTCTTCCATCCCTCAGAATGGTCTCCACACGCCGAGGAGGCCCCGCTGCCCCATCTGCTCCAGGACATCCTCCACACTCTGCCTGCTCTGGCTCGGGCAGCAGCCGCACCCGGCGACCCAGCTGAGGCCACGCCAGCCCCAGTGCACTGTGGCAGGACCAAGGTGTTCATGACTGACACCACGGTAAGCCGTTCCAGATGAGGAGCAGAGATCACACGGACCAGCTGTGTGCTGTCCGCAGGACGGGCTGGGCCCTCCTCAGGGCAGGGGGCAGGGACTGAGGACCTCAGTGGATGCCTCTTCTCCCAGCTGGAGCTCCTGGAGCGCGGGCGTGCCCAGGTGCTGGAGCAGTGTGCCCGCTGCATCCAGGGTGGCTGGAGGCGACACCGGCACCGCAAGCAGGCGAGGCAGAGGCGGGCTGCTGTGCTCATCCAGGCAGGTAGGTCCCGGGCCCTGGGCACACAGCCTCGCTCCGGGCAGCTGTTCTCAGCAAGTGCACACAGGCCCCGCGTGACACTATTTCCTTTGAGACGCCGCTGCCCGAGTCCCCACGCACCAAAGCTGACAGCCTCAAGACGTTCGTGGCCCATCCCCATGGTGCGCTATGATTCCAATCCCTATCCACCTCATCTGGGGCATCTTTCTAGTTCAGTGGAAACCAGGTCACACCACCAATAAGGGTGCTTTATAGGTAGCAGAGGCTAAGAGTCTTGTCTTTAATTCCCTTTTCCCAGACCTAGATAGCTGTTTAACTATCTTTCCCTTTATGACAACTCAAAGCATTACCTGCTGGGCTCCAGGGCTTTCAGTGAGTTTAAGAAGGTAAAAACCTGACAAGATCTGATTCACCAAAGAAGAAATGTACAAACCATGTTACTACCTTTACCAGCATGTGGTGTATGGTGGTGCCATTCATGGACTCATAAAGCGAGCAAGTAGACACAAGGACCTCAGAACTGAACACAAGTAATTCTAAAAGACGCAGGCAGCTCAGACCTTCTAATTCCCGGGGCATTGTCCCGGGCTGAGCCTGACGGGGGGGGGGGGGGGGGTGACCCTGCTCTCAGCTGTCCCTTCAAGGGACACACAGCTCCAAAGCCTGTGGGCATCTGGTCAGTTTCTAACCTGACCAGTGGTGCACGGGTAGCTGCTGACTGAAAAAAAAAACACCTGTTTCAGACCTTTCGAGCAGCTGCACAGCCAGGCCACCCATAGCCGGAATGACCATTTTACTCTTTCCTGTTTCTGGGCCACCCCTTAGCCGCGCGTTCCTGGTTAACTCGGAGACACATCCAGAGGCTGCACGCGGCTGCCACGGTCATCAAGCGCGCGTGGCAGCGGTGGAGAGTGAGTATCGGGCTCCAGGAGTCGGTTTGGTGGCGGGTACTTTGGTATCAGGCGGAGCCGGGTTGGAGTGCCTGGCCCCACCACTGCAACACGGGTGGCCCCGTGCTCTTCACGCGTGAAGCAGGCACGACACCACCGACCCTACAGGGTGGCTGTGACGGCCACAAGTGGCATAAGCAACGGGGAACATGCTAAAAACCATGGGAGTGTATACTTTAAACAGGTGAATTCTGTATCAGTTAGACCTCCATCAGGCTGTCTCTTAAAGCAGCACTAAAGTGCAAGGCCTGAGCCCAGGTGCCTTGGGTATGAAGCTCTGCCTGCCGCAGAGCCAGGCTGGTGGGGGCCCTTCAGTGTGCCTCGACCAGACGAGTTAATAAACACAGTTCTGGTTTCTATTTTCCATTTAGAGCTACTAAATCAAATGCTATAAACTGGTGTTCTTTTTTTTTTTTTAAGATCAAAATGGCCTTCCTTGCTTCTAAAGAGCTGGACGGTGTAGAAGAAAAACACTTGCTCCAAGCTCCCCGTTCCCCAGGCTCCTTCCCGCTGCCCCAGACCCAGACCTGGCTGCTGGGGGCCATCATCCGCCTCTGGCCCCTGGGACTGGTGCTGGCCAACGCGACCGTGGGTGTCCGCGGCTTTCAGAGGAAACTGGTGGTCTGGGCCTGCCTCCAGCTCCCCGCCAGCAGCCCTGGCAGCTCCCCCGTCCGGACAGCACACGAACAGGATGGTGTCACGTCCATCCGAGCACTGCCTCAGGTAAGTGGTGACGGGAGGATGCGACCGATGGCAGCTCACCAGCTGTGGCCGTCCTGCCCAGGACAGCTCAGGCCTCTCCCATCTCACTGTAGAAGGCAAGAGGCAAGACCAGGAATCCTCTGCGGGGGAGCAGGCGGGAGGCCACGAGGACAGCTGTCCTAACCCTGCAGGGCTGGGCGGAGGAGTCAGAGCCTAAGCTTCCCAGCTGGCTGCACTTACACCTCGGGCTTTTCCAGAGCCTTTCCATCACTTTAAAAAATACTGCCTCTAAGTGTTCTAGCATCTCCTTTTCATGGGTCCCACTTGGAGGCAAAAAACTTGGGTCGTGAGGACAGCTTACTCCCTCCAATGGCACTGGATTTGGCACCATGGTTTCCTGAAGTGAGGTTACTGGGTGTATCTCATTTCCCAGCCAGGGAAGCAACAAGCAGGTGAGTCAGTGGTCCAAGTGCTCTGTGGTTTTCTATTATGGACAGTCAGGGGAAAAGCCAGCCAGTGTATAAAAGTGGCTAACAGGCAAGGGTTAAGTGGCACTGACAAGGCAGAGAAAGGGAAGCATGAAGTGCCATCCCAGAGGACTCACTGTGCGCCAGAACCTGGCTAAACCCCCCCTGGACGGCATTTGACAGTCTTAGGGCTGTGCCAGTTGATTGTCTTGGGAGGGGAGAGCTCTCTTCTACTATTCCCTCATCTGTCTCTCACTGAAGGGATGTGAGCTTTTATATTTTAACACTGCTTTAGACTTTGCAACTCTTACAGCAAAAGGAGAAAAAAACGCTGCGACTCCCATGCCAGAGCTTGCCCGTCCACACTCCCTGCATTTCTAGCACATGCTCCGTGAGCTACCTTCTGGGCCCTGGCTCCCCTGGGAGCCGCGGTAACCTGCATCTCTCTCCCTAGGGCTCGATCAAGTTTCACTGCAGAAAGTCTCCACTGCGCTACGCTGACATCTGCCCTGAACCTTCGTCCTACGGTGTTACTGGCTTTAATCAGATTCTGCTGGAAAGACACAGGCCGGGCCACGAGTGATCTCGGCTCACTTTCTCTCTTCACCTGGCTGGGCACTCTGCATGCCTTTGTTTCTGCAACACCTTTTCCTGCCAGCTGCCTTGCCAAAGACATTTAATCAACAGAAAGCTGCCAAACGACTCCCACAGTGACTCCAAGGCCTGTGAGAGTGACACCTCGGCCCGCCCGCGAGCCAGGGCCACAGCGGCCCGCCCACCAGGCAGGCCTGGGGCTCCAGCAGCTGTCTCAGGCACTGACAGGTGTGAGGGTTAGCAGTCACCAAATCCAGGTTAAAAACCATCAGGGCCACAGAGAAGCTCACACCTGCACCACCTTCAGGGTCCAGCTCCAATCCGACGAGCATGCAAGCCGCCTGTCACTACAGTGGTGCGCACCCCGTGCTGATTTCCCACAAACAGAACAGGCAGCTTGGTATTAACTCTAAAATTTTGGCTGGGGAAATTCTGCATTTAGTTTCTTAAAGAGGAACAAAACCTTACTATTTAATGTGCTGTTGACTTATTTAATTTAGATCACAAACCAGGGATGATGAACAGTGCAATGTGCCACAGAACCACATCTTGATTTTACTTAGTAACACTAAGTTTTCACTCAAATGAGTGTGAAACTTGATAAATTATCATTTACAACATCCACCTTAACTGTACCAAAAATAAACAACTTGAAAACAACCACCTGAGTGTCTGCCCCTGGACTGCCCCCATCCACCTGACACCCCAGCCCACAGCACTAGATGCGACGACTTGCAGGACCTACCCCAGGTCAGCCGGCCTGCGTGCTGGAAACCACCGCCCCTGCTCCGGGCCCGGGGAACTGGTCTCCTGCGAGAGGGAGCAAGCAGGCTCCAAGAGTCCATCACAAGCCTGAGCAAGCAGCACGACAGTCCATTTAAGAGTCCTCATTCTGGGATGGTTCCACGATCCTTAAACAGCAGTCGGCAAACTCCACAAACAAGGGCTCCTGCATGCAGGCTCTCATGAGCTTGGCCTTGTCCTCCCCCTGATCAAGGCTGACCATCAACTGTCTGAGGTGTGGGTTGAGCAATAAGCTTCTTACTTCTGCAGACTCCCCTTAAAAACGAAGGAAAGCCAATCTGAGTTGAAATGGCAACAGGTGGAAATAGCTGAAAGCTAAATGCTTTAAATGTAATAAATACTGCATGCCCTTAACCTTTAAATCCACAAATGAACCCCACGTTAAACGTTGTCACAGATTACTGTTCTTGGTATCTTTGTAAATACTTTAACTTTATGCCACTTTGGCTAAGAAAAAATACTTGACTACCACAAATGCAAAGCACAGCATTAACTTGTTGGCAAGGGTCATTACACCAAATGCTCTGAATGACACTTAAGCAGGCGCTCCAGTGGGAAACAGGATCGGCAGCAGGGAACTGGCTCTAGCATGGGCTGCAGCTTTACAGATTACAGAGCAGCTCACACCTTGCGGCAGCTGGCTCCAACCTCAGCCTAATTACTGCCGTGGGGTCCGTGCAAAGCACCACCGGTTAGGCCAGCTCTGTGAAATGGGAATGAAAATAACACCCACCTGTAGGAACTACCCTGGTCCTTTAATTATATAGGCAACAGAATTGCTATGGGGACTGGATGAGCAGTCCCAAAAAATACTAGGCATTATTAACACCTGCGTCCCTCTAAAAAAATCAAGCCCTGGGACTATCCAGCCTGCATGAATGGCTGGACTGCAAATGGAGCACTAGCAACACAGGAATAAAGCAGGTCTCTCCCCATACACTGGTGGGAGGCAAATCACCATGGAATCCGGTGAGTGGGATATTACAAGGCACCACAGGAAGATCAAAAAGTGTCTAATTCTGACAATCAAAAGGTCAAGTTTAAGCGAGGACGGAACACTTGAACAAAGCATGGAAGGAGGGACAGAATTCCGTCAACCCACAAAGCCAGTGTGACTCCAGGCCAAGGGAAGGGTCTTGAAGACAGGCTGGGAGGTATGGAAGCCCTGTGTTGTTTAATTTTTGTTTTAGTTTATTGATTGTAGAGAGAGGAGCGAGAGGGGAAAGAGAGAGACATTGATTTGTTGTTCCCCTTATTCACGCGTTCACTGGTTGCTTCTGTAGGTGCCCTAACTGGGGACTGAAACCCACAACTTTGGCAAATTGGGATGATGCACTAACCAACTGAGCTACCTGGCCAGGGCCAGTCTGGTATTGCATATAGAATTGTGTGGCTGGATGAAGAGCTCTGCACACGACACTAAAGTATTTAATTATTAAGAATCACATTCTATCCCTGGCTGGTGTGGCTCAGTGGATTGAGTGCCAACCTGCAAACCAAAAGGTGGCCAGTTCAATTCCCAGTCAGGGCACACGCCTGGGTTGCAGGCAAGCCTCTGAGCTGGGGGCCTATGAAAGGCAACCAACTGATTTCTCTCCCTCTCTTTCTCCCTCCCTAACCCTCCCTCCAAAAATAAATAATTAAATAATCACATTCTATACAACAGAGTAAATGTATCTCAATGACTGACAAAGAATAAATAAGCACAGCATGGACTTACCTAACTTCTTTAAATTCTGCAGAGAAACCCTGTCCTCTTCCTCATCGCTATTGAGAAAATCAGCTATAGAGTCGTCATCATCATCTAAGGAACACAGAACACAATCAATACTTACGACTATAAAGAAAGCCCAGGTGCCAGATCTTAACAACTTCCCCAAGAGACTAAAAAAAAGTATATGCACACACGTGACAGTAACGTGTATGCAAGCACGTGCAGACAAAACAAACCAAACCCCTTCTCTGGAACTGGTGACTATACCAACACTCCTCTTTTAGGAAAAGGAAGGCAAATGAAAAAACTGGTGACTTTAACAAATGCATCCTAGTGTTCACGCACATAGTCCACGTGTTTCCCTATGTTCATGACACATGGAGGCTGATTTTCATTCTTATCACCCCACCTCGCCTCACCCTGCCTCCAGCCCTATGATGGGCCAATAAACTAGGTGTGCTCCATAAAAACCTGCTAACATGAATCCCCTCAGGAGCAGAAATTGCTGGGATTGCCTGAACCCAACAAGGAAGTTTCTCCAAAGGCAGAAATGAGCCACCCCCTTGTGAATGTTTATTATGTCTTTGGTGGCGCTAGAAGAGGCTGCTTTCAGAGCCTGGCATGGTGCATGACACCCAGAAGGTATTAAAGACTGGCTGGCTGGCTGGGATGACAGCCCACCACCACTGTAAGCTGTGAGAAGCCCCCCACAGCAGCAGGGTGGCCTAGGCCAAAGGCAGCCTCCCACCTAGGCCCAGGTGAACTGACAGTCCCAGCCAGGCCCATGAAGGAAGACTGACGCCTTTACTACAGAAGGCTCCCACCAGCAGGGCCCACCCCTCACCCCCAAACCGCACCTCTGGTCTTTCTCCCCTCTGCCTCTTGCCCCCATCTGTATTGTCCTGAACAATGCCTTCAAGCTGCTCTGTATCATCTGTGCCCGGACTCCTGGCGCTCTGGGCTAAGAAAGTTGCTTCTCCATAAAGAAGACACGGTTCTTGACTCTCTATCCCAGCCCAGGTCTCCTCTTTCAACTTACTCTCTCTGAACTCTCATTCCAGGTTTGTTTGAAGTCAATAACTCACCTTTGTTTTCCACAGGCTTTGCAGTTTTTTCAGTAACAGCTGATCTTAGTTTTTTCTCAATAGGACAAGTTTCAGGACTGCACTGCTCTGAAAAAGACGCAAATCTCAGGAGCACATCACCTCCATTTTAGTGACAAGGCTGCACCTTCCACCAAGCCAGCATCTAGGTGGGGAGCATGTGCACGGAGTAAGGGATGTGGGTGAGGTGGAGATGCATACAGAGGAAGTAAGAGATCAAATAAGGGGCAGTACAATGAAAACAAGCAACCCTGGCAGAAGACCTCAATGACCCCTAGGACCTGTCCAAATCAGCTCTTCCCTCCCCTAATCTCACAGGGCTTTCATTACAATTAAGTAGCACACTGACTTCAATCAGCATCAAACTACTGAGGTCCCTTTTTATTACAAAATCTTTTACTACAAATCATAAGCATGTAATTCTGTAACATAACAATATCACACTCAAGCACACCACATAACGTTTAGGTGAAATGTTCAAATTAAAACTATAAATTATCCCACATGTATTATTACCCTACCAACCACCCTCAAGCAGGCATTACTTCTGCCAGACGCTGCATTTCCTCAGGAGTTTCAGATACCGAATCTGCATCTGCACATGCTATCGGGCATACACAGATGGGAGTCACCAGGTCCACCCCCAGAGGGATTTAGTCTTAAGGTCAATAAAGAGATGGGCAAGAGGCAAAAGGTCTGCTGATCTAAATCACCTGAGAGAGCCGGGAGACAAGACCAAGAGGAGTCTGGGAAGGATGGTCGTTGCCAGGTTAAAGAGCATTTCTGGCACAGGGAAGGTCTATGGCTAGACCTGACCCTTAAAGTAAGGTCAGGCAGGAGAGAGGGCGACAAACAAATGCCACAGACTGGTGGCTAGGGCACAGGTGGAGAAAGCAGGAGCAAGAGAATGCCACACACAGGCCATTTGCCTTCCTTCCCAAGGCAGGTATCTCTCAGCAAGGGTACTGCTGTGTGTGCTGTAAGGTCGTCTCACACACTGCACGATGTTTATTAGAATCAATACCAAGTACCAGAAATAACACCAATCCCTCCTCAGCTACTGTAACAAAGACATTATGATGAGTTATCTCCCTAGGGAGAGCAATACCCAGGTTAAGAACCACTGACCTGCCCTCACTGATGTGGCTCAGTGGATTGAGCGCTGACCTGCCAACCAAAAGGTTACTGGTTGGATTCCCAGCTGGGCACATACCTGGATTGCAGGCCAGGTCTCCAGCTGGGGATGTGCAAGAGACAAATGACCCATGTTTCTAGCACACATTGATGTTTCTCTTTCTCTCCCTTTCTCCCTCCCTTCCCCTGACTCTCTAAAAATAAATAAATAAATAAACCTTTTTTAAAAAAGAATCAACAAGAGAGTGAATTGCTCAAATTTATATTTCAGAAAATTCAGCCCAGTAGCAACACAGTTAGTTAAGAGCTCCTGATTAGGTTCTTAGTGGGGCCTCACAGGGATGCAGGGCCAGAGGGAGGCGTTCCCGCCCAGCTCTCCAACCCTATTTCCAGCAAAGTCGTACTTCTTTTCTATGTATCTTTAGCTGAAAGGTTTCTTTTGAAATGCTCCAGAGATATTAGAAGAAAGAGAGGGTGGGGGTACGGCTTGAAACATACTGCTTGTAAACCAGAGCCTGGAGCAGATGAAAGGAGAGGCAAACAACTAAGAGGAACTTAAACAGAAGAGTCAACCAATAGGGAGATCGTGGGAAAGAGTCCCTGAGGGCTGAGAAGAGGCACAGCACTGGAGAAGAGTTAAAATGTAGACTTGACAACATAAACAGCCGAGGACATCGCTCCTTATTATAAATAAATCTACTTCATTGTTTCTAACAATGAATTATTTAAAAGAAAGAAATTTTCTTGTTAACTTTAGCCAGCGCAGCTTCTGCCAAATAATAAGCGGCGCTGCGTCGGAATACTAAGATGAAATAGCTAGGGTAGACTTCTCCGATCAGAGCCCAAATAAAGAATGACATGTAGAAGAAAAGGCAGAGCAGAATAAAGGGTTTGACTGTTCAGAATCCGGAAACGCATTCACAGGCAGAAGTTCCCCAGGGGATCCGACAGGATCACTCGCGACAAGGCCCGAGAGAGCGCGTCCTGAGGGGTGTCCACGTCCCCAAGACAGCGGAGGGGGGTGGGAGCTGCCCCGGCCGATGAGGGAGGCGGGGCTAAGGCGGGGACGCGGGGGGCCTTACCTTTATGCTTACGGGAACAGGTCAAGGAGCAGCTGTTAACAACAAAACCCAACGGGCACATCAGCCGAGGGCCCGGCGGACCCTCCCTCAGGCCTAGCCCAGCTCCCTGCCCGGCCCAACACTTGCGCTCCCCCTCCCCCACGAACTCCGGCGCTTACTAGGGCACGCGGCAGGTGGGGCAGCGATATTTGGGTTTCTCCAAACAGATCACACAGACGACGGTGCTACCCTTGAGCGACGCCATGATAACTCCGAGAACTATCTCCCATTCCAGGCGCGCGCAGCTCTCCCCACCAGTCCCACGTGCACGCCTTTCCTTCCGTCTCCTTAACAAAAACCAATCAGCGCACAGCACTTACAGCAGGTCAAAAGCAATGGATTGCTCCTGCTCACTGTTCCAGGCCTGATAAGTAGATAGTCGATACACTCGATGTGCATTCAGTAACTGCATCAGAGTTTCCTTGGTTGGTCTACCACACACGTCATTTGGTTACCTCTAGTAAACGAGAAGTCCAGCCACTGGACTTCTTTATAAAGGTTAAATTCTAAAGCCAGCACAAAAGTCAGAAATTACTTTTTCAAACAACCTATAACCTGGAGAAACACCTGCACTTTTAAGAGGCAGCAGGAGCTGAGACTGCCGGATGACCCACGAGCCTCAACTTCCACCCCAGGGTCCGTCCAAGACACTCAGTCAGGGAACGGAGGGGGCCTGGTTTGCCTGCACCTTTTTAAGCTTTTTTTTTTCTGTCTCTCCCTCCCCTTCTTTTTTATTTCTTCTTTATTTCACTTTAGTTTCAGAGCCCTGAGCTGAATGTGTACACAACTTCTTGTCGCTGCAGCTGGGAGCAGGGAAGCATCATGGAGGACCAAGCCCCACCCAATTCCTTGAACTTGTAGTCCATCGGTACACCGCGAGGGGGCAAAGAAAGGGCGGCTTTCGCGGCAGGAATCCAGCATCCTTGAAGAGCTCGTGTCACTCCGGGTTCTGGACAAGGCAGATCGGTGCCGTAGGCTAGGTCCTGTGACACACCACTCCCGGCCTTGCTTCGTGCAGAAACCTGCCCTCCTGCCCTGCTTTCCAGCCCAGGCCATCCTCGCTGAGGAAAGACAAACGAGGCTCGTCCCCTGACAAATAGTTAGGGAGCTTTTACTGTGTGCCCGGCACTGAGCAGGCGCGGGGGCCACGGGAAAAGCCGATCCGGTGCCTTTCCTGGGGGTGGAGGTGGGGAGACTGAGCAGGGCTGAGACCTGCAGAGTGACCTGCAGAGTGACCTCTGCACAAGGGAGTGGGGCCCAGAATAAGTGTTGCCGAGCCAGACCCAGCTTAAGAGGTACTGGATCCCGGAGTCTTGAAGGCGTGGATTGGTCAGAGGTAAATTCCGACAAGTAAGTGCGTTGTGACCTGTCTTGAGAGGCCAGAGTAAGGAGATAGGGCGTTACATACAGACCGAGCCTCACTAACCCAGCCCTGCTCCTTATCCCGGCTCCATAGGAGATCCCAACCTGTAAGGACTCTTGCGCCACGTGCTCTCGTACTCTCAGGGCCGCAAATCGCCACGGTCTCTAAATGAGGCGGAATTCTGGCCGAAAGGAGGGGAGCCGCCCACCCGCCCCGGAGGCGCTGTCCAGCCCGTGGTGCTGAAGCGTCCTGAGCCCCACTGCCAGAGAACAGGGCGCGGTCCTCGCCTGCAGCTGCCATTCCCAACCCGGGGATCATCCAGACTAGCCTAATAATCTCCAGAGATGCTTGTCTGGCTCAGCAGGTATAAACTGGAGTTGCCTCGGAGATCCAAGCTTCCCTAAGGAGGCCCAGGGAATGCCAATGTTTGCCCAGGGGCCACAAGGCTCTGGAGAGTGGACAGTACTCAATTCCTGTACTCCATTCTGGAAGCAGTAGACAGCCACACGCTATGGGCATCTCCAATGCCCTCTCCAGACTTGTCCTATGAGTTGTGTGGGGAAACTTGTGGGGAGGGTCCATTCACTTTCCAGGAACTCAATTCTTCCCACCTGCATCCAACCCACCAGGCCCAGCTACCTGAAAGAGAGTTGAGACAATCCCTGGAATTCCTCCCATACACATTCCTCCCAATAAGGGTGCCTCTTTCTCCACTCTGGGTGACCCCCAATTTCCATGAATGCCCACAACTGCACCCCTCACCCAATGTCCAGGCAGGCAGGGGAGATAAGGTGTCCCCAGTGAAGGCCTCTGCTACTTGGAGTCTAGAATATTGTCCTTGAAGGAGTAAATGGCACAGTTGACCAGTGAGTTAGTTGATCATAATCGTGATGGCAGTGATGTTGAGCAGCATGAAGAAGCTGGGTATAGCTCCTGATGCAGAAACTAGTCTAGAAAGGGGGCTGGTAGGACACCGGAAGGAGCAGCTGGGTGGCTGCACCAGTGCCCAGGACCAAGCCCATACTGGACCTGCCATGTCCTGGCTCCCCCAGAACCTCATTGGCGACAATCCTGGAAGCCCAGGGCCCAGGCATACCTCCTTAGTATCAGTCAAACTCAGTTCAGATTGGGACAGAGATGAGGTACTAGGGGAGGCAAAAAGGGTGCATAGTGAAGGGTGTTGCTTGACTCTTGAGGCCCGCCCCCACTCCTTATCCAGGGCACCTGCCAGTACTCCCTGATTGAGTGTCTGGAGATGGGCAGTGCTGCTCAGCCTGTTAAAGGGACACACCTGTGTGGGATGGGCATGTGCAGTCATGGCCAGATGAAAAGGTCTAGCCCCAACCCACCCCAACAGATGAGCCCCATACTGTGGCCCCCATGGCCATAGATTTATAACTAGTCACGCTGGGCATCACAGTGACCCCAAGAGGCAAAGTGGAGATTAGCAAACTCATTAGGCAGATGGGAAATCAGAGGGTCAGAGAAGGCATAGGAAAGTCACTAAGGCCCAGAGAAAGTCCAAAGACCAACTTCTGGTGTTTGGCTCACTCCAGCATTCTCCTTCCCGTTCCCTGTTTTCCACTTCACTCGTCAAGGAGCTGGTGCTAACTGAAGTCCCTTCTGTCAGACCCAAAGAGCTGATTACCATGGTAATTAACAAACAGTCCTTCCAGGGTCCTCAACAACATAATCCTCCTGAAAGGATGCAGAGGGTCATTATGATGTTAGGGAGAACATGCCACCCTTTGGCTGGCCTGCAGCCATTGCAAGCACATGAAAAACGCCCAGGAAGAAAGGACTGCCCATCAGGCCCTGGGGGAGGGGGAGGGCCTGTAGGAAGTGCTGGGGGCTCCCAAACCTGCTGGGCCTTCAGGCAGCGAGCCAGAAGTGCTGCTTCAGCTTCTCATCACAGAGTTGAGCCACAGCTGTGCCAAGCTGTTCTTCGGGAAGAATGTAAATCTGGACACATCCAGCAGGGCTGGCAGAATGAGGGAAAACTGAGGGGCCACTGCAGGGGCCCCTGGGAGCAGGCCAAGGTAGAAGCCCCCTCACCAAACTAAAAAATTGGAAGCCTGCATGTCTACATATGAGCCAGAAGAAACCCACCAGTCGGGTGCCTGGGGATGAGGTAGGGGAACATGAATGAGCCTTAACAGCCTCCCCTCCATACACATACCCAGGTGGTCCCATCCCCTCCTCTGTGCCCAGAGCAGGCAGGAAGGCCCGATGATGAATGGGGACAGCCAGGGGCACCAAGGGCCATCCAATGGCAGAGACATGAAACACACAAATAGACCATCAGGTGTTACTGATCTCAGGGGATGGTAGGTTACACACAGCGAGGGCCCCTTGCCCACTGCTGGCGGAGCAGTCACTGGGGCGTGTCCGCTATGAGAATCTCCATGATCTGGCCTGTGCCTGCCCTCTCAGTTGCCTCCTGGAACTCTACCTTGAGCCAGAATCATTTGTGACTTTCTCCAATAGCCCACACCCTCTCCTTTTCTCTGAGCCTTTCTGGGCATGTGCTGTTCATCTTCTGGAATGCTCTTCAATCACTGCCCACCCACTCTACCCTCAGTCCCATCCTCCACATCCCTTTCTTAGTTCATCCTTTCTCCTTCTTCTAACCTCAGCTTCATCATCAGCTGCCACAGCAGGACCTCTCAGGACACCGAGGCTCACTCAGCTAGTGCCCTGGCTGTGCTCAGGCATCAGTCCCAGCCATGCCCACAGTGGCCCATTAGACTCTGAGACAGCAGAGATGGCTTCTGTTTCACCCCGACACAGCTTCTGACACACAGAAGAGATTTAATGGCAATAGCTGGTGCCCAAAGGAATGAAAGGGACATCTGGATGTGGCCAGGTCAGAGGTGTCGGGACTGGGACATTTCAGACCAGAGGGCACGTGGGAGTCTGGCTGGGAAGGACGTGCCTGACAGGTGGAACCTGAGGGGACTGAAATGGGCAGGAAGTGGAATCCACAGGGACCGCCTATGGACTGCCACGGCCAGAGATGAGCTGGACAGGTGGGGTGTGATGGACCTTGGATATGAGCTCAGGAGATGAGGTGTTGCCCTGGCTATGAACCAAAAGGTCGCTGGTCCAATTCCCAGTCAGGGCACATGCCTGGGTTGCAGGACAGGTCCCCAGTAGGGAGTGCAAGAGGCAAACAAATGTTGCTCTCCCACTCTTTCTCCCTCCCCTCTCCTCTCTGAAAATGAATAAATAAATAAAGAGATGAGGGGTCGCATACAGATGGAGTCATGTTTAATGGGAGCCCTAGGCGTGTCCTGTCCCAGGGTGGGGGGACCTGCCCAGGGTTCCTGCAACCCCTGCGATGGCCCTCCCAGGGGCCATGAATTGCTGCCCACCTCAGGTGCTCCCCTCTGACTTGGACCACTCAGCCCCGCCGAACCTCCCTCCCCTGCTGCACTCTAAGAGGGACGGCCCACCACCCACCACAGAGGTGCTGGGGAGGGCAGCTGAGGGGAGGCCCTGACTGGGAGGTGGCTGTGTTCCCAGGAGGCACGTAGTCTGAATCCTACAAAGGGCCATTCGCACACCCAGGTTCCTAGAAACAGTCCATAATTTCCCTCACTGTCACCAGGTCAGCACGGGGGAACCATTCTGCCTCCCTCCCCTGAAACAGGCCTCCTCACCTCCATCTCCCCTCAGAGGCGCCCTTCCCTCTCCTCATCACCTGGGGCGGGAGGTGGAGGCTGCAGCCTGGGCCTGCGGTGTCCCCGGATCTGTCAGAAGGAGCCCGGGACCCAGCGACTGCACCGGAATTCCAAGCAAACCGGAAAGAGGCTCCAGGGGCCAGACCCGGACTCCGCCTTCGGCCCCACCCCCACCCCACCCCTCCTCGCAGCGGGCGCACCGGCCTCCCCAGACTAGCTCGGCTCCAGCTCCCTCCCTCCT